ACAGCTCGTTGGTCATCTCGTCGGACGAAGACGCGCCGTTGTCCAGGGCGCGGGCGTTCAGAAGCTCCGAGTAGCAGCCCAGCCGGGTGTAAGGGGACACGGTGGGTTTGTGAACGAGTGTCGCGGTCGGGGTCGCCGCGGACGTGGTTGTGTAGAGCTCGAGGCGGTTGCCCGCGCCGCAGTACTGCGACTTATCGCCGGAGCAGATCATGTTGCAGTCGCCTATGGCGGCCTCCTTGCTGCTGTCGGCGATTTCGTTGGCGCAGTAGCCTGTTGGGAGCAAAAGTCAGGAATCAGTGAAATCTCAATGGTTTGGCTTGAAGTGGAAAGGTTGCTTACACTCAGACCCGTACTCGGTGCCCCAGTAGTTGTAGCCAGTGCAGTTCTTCATGCAGCTCTCGAGCGTCATGCCGTCGTAGGCGAACGACTTTGCAGAAAGAGCACGAACACCGTCGCCCTCGGTCTGGCAGCCCTTGAGCTTGTAGCCGCCCATGACTTCGCGGTGGTAGGGCGAGGCGACTGCAGCAGAGCTCGAAGTCCCACTGGCGCTGCTTGTTGTGGACGAGCCGGTGTGGCTCGTCGTCGATCCGGTGCTGCTGCTGGTTGACGACGCAACACTGCTGGCCGTCGAAGAGACGGTACTGCTCGCGCTCGATGAAGCACTGGTGCTGGATGTCGATGATGCAGCGCTACTGGTGATTGACGACTCAACGCTGCTAGATGTAGACCCGGCGCTGCTTGTCGTCGAAGATACAACGCTGCTTGACACAGTAGACGAGGTGCTCGAGGCGACGGAAGACGACGAGCTCCCGCCCGACGGCAGCTCGGAGGAGCAGCTCTCCGCTCTGGGGTACGTGAAGTCATCGCAGTTGGCACCCAACAGTGTCACAGAGTTGAAGTCGTCGTTTGCGACATCGGAGCCGCTGCCGCTCATCACATCGAGTTTGGCGGCGTAGCCGTAGCTGCCTGGGATGGTCACGGATCCGGTGTATACCGTGTAGAGCCCAGCGCAGCGACCCTGCGTCAACGTGATCGTGGCATTACGCAGCTGAGGAATAGGGAGGTTGTCATCGCCCGTCTCTTGCAAGTACGAGACAAATGCCGAGACTGGCATCGTGGCGCGGTCGTTGCGGATCTGCCTCTCAACCGTCAGTCACAGTTTGGGTTCGACTATTCTTCACAGTTCTGCACTCACCGCCGCATTAACCGTCAGCTGACCTGACTGGCCTTGCGAGGACAGGAAACAGCTCTGGGGCTGCATCAGAACGGCCTTGTCCTGCAGTGGGTAGCCTTGCCCGTTGTTGTCAACTGTTTGAGTCTGGCCACTCTGTCTGGTCACCTTGACAGTAAATGAAGAAATGCCACCGGCCGTGGGAATTTGTCTGTTGATAGGGTACCACTACATGGTTGTTAACAAGGCTGCAGGTGGAGTATTCACTCGCGGGATGAACGATATGAAAGCACTATCAGTCACTTACAGCGAAAGTATCATCAAAGCCGTTTGTGATGCCTTGCCTGCTCAGGGCAAAAGTACAGCCCAGGGCACCGCATTCACTGCCGTCATTCCGGTCCTTGTATGTGATAGACACACCGGTCACGGGATCCGCGGCGAGCCCAGTCGTTCTGATGCGAATGAACCCGTTGAGCTGGAACGAACTCGCGCCCCCGTTGAGCGTCAGCTGGACATTGACTGGCTTGACGAAGTAGGGCGTGATCGGGTCTGACAGGGCGACGCCAGGGGGCACGACCTCGATCATCTTCTGGAACACTCGCGAACACCTGGCGTTGAAGTCGGTGGGGTTATCCCGGGCCATGGCCCCGATCGTCTGGTTTTGGCCCTCGTAGCTGTACAGCTTGGTGTCGGAGTTTGTGCGTCTGGCCTGCGAGGTAGTGCCCCTGATCAAGGGGTTTGTGCTGTTCCACGCAATATACTCGACGGCGATTGTGTTGTCGAACTTTGTGGGGGTGGAATCGAGGCCGACAGCACCGCCAACCAGGACAGGGTCGTCAGCGGCGACTAGGTTCGGGAAATTGGCCGCATGAACACTTCCCAACGTGTGGCCACATGCCGTCAGCTCGATACCCTCTGACAGGCTGAAGCCCATCCTGGAAAACTTGTTTGTCAACCCCTGAGGCTGGTCCTGCGGGATCGGGATAAACCCGGTGCCCAGACCTGCAGTTGCATCAATACGGCCGGCCCGTATGGGCACGGCAGGGCCGGCGCAGGCTCTCGAAGCGTAGTAGACGCCGAGGGAGAGCAAGTCGGCAATGCTGGTCTTGCGTGTGTGATAATCCTTCATGAAGTCCAGAGTCGCACGGAATGCCTGGCCGACATTCTCGCCGCTACTGAGCTCGAATTGTAATGAGCCGTCCATGCCACCGAGGCGAGATCCCGACGAAGAAAACCGAGTGGTGGCTACATCGTGGAATGCTGAACGGATCCATTCCGCAGGACCGTGGCGGCCGGGGCCGAGGGCCTGATTTGCGCATGGGATGACGGTCCCGCCGAACTGTCGTGCTCTGTAGCCGGTGACTTGGAACATGATCTCCTCAAGCTCGTCCGTGGACGCTGGCCAGGTCGGGTCTGCGCCAGCCACGGCGGCCAGCGAGGCCATGGCGCTCAGCAGGCACGTGTCCCACCGCATGTTGACTGAGGTGTCTGTGAAACCGGGCCGGTAGGTTGTTCACGAGGAGAACCAGGCGTGTGGGCGACTGATGACAGACAGGAGCTCAAAGACTGCCTTGGTAAACAAACCCAGAAGGAATTGCAACCGGAGGAAAATCCGGGCGGCAGCTCAGAGTGCAGGACGGGCGGGAGGCCGGTGGTAATAGTAAAGGTTGTCGATATCTGGTGCCGGAGACCCTGAAGTGCCATGTCAGCCGCCGCCTGAGGCCAAGAGCAGTCATGCAGGCGAGGCGCCGCCCGGAGGCCGGGCTCTGCGGTAGCCCGGTGGGCGGAAGTGCGTGGCCGACATGTCGGTGGGCCTTTGCCATTGTGCCGTGGGCGTGGGCGTGGACGGAATACGAGGCCGGGCGTGGTGTTGACCTGCTGCATGTGCTTTGATGTGCTGCGAGTTGCAGGAGGCCGCAGGTGAGGAGTGGGGGCCTGCAGATGGACAATCGGGGCTAGCGAGGCGTGCCACCACCGGCTCGAGCCAGCGCCAGCCCAGGCTCGCTCGCGTGCAGGTGAGACGAGAGAGAGCGAGGTCTGGAGCCGCTTGGGCAGCGTGGCCAAGCACGGTCGGTCTGCGTGCTCTCCGATCCGCCACGCTCCGAGATTTGCTGTCATCTCGTCGACATGCAGCTGATGCAAGGATGAACCTACGCCGTGCCAGGCCACCCAGCAGGCCCAGCAGACCCAGCAGCCCAGCAGCCCAGTAGGCGTCCAAGAGCGGCTGAAGGTCTTGGGCTGCTGCTCCCAGGGTTGCTCGTCGATAGGCAGTCTCGGCAGTGTTCAAAGGCGCACAAGAAGCCTTGTCTATTGGAACTCTCTGGAGAGTGGCCTCGACTCAATTCGCAGCCTGCAGCTGAGCTTGGCACGACTCTCTCCTACCTGACTTTGCTCCAAGTCCAAGCCCTACCACCCAAAAGTCAGATCTGTACCTGAGCTAATGGACTAGACACCCTCCGCGCTCAGCCAGAGAACTGGTCCAGCGCAGGTGACGGCCTTGTTTGGTGCTAGCCCCGTCACCCGCCGCTGGCGCGACTTGGCCACGCCGGCCCGCCCGTTGCACACCCTACCTGCCGAGACAAAAAATCGTCGACGGTTGAGTCAGATGAACTGACCCCGGCGGACTACCCAGGACTCGCCTTGTGGATGACAGGTGGAAAAGGGCATGCAGGTCGGCTCGGGTCTTACTGGAAACAACTGCCGCATATCTTTCCTGACTATCGCCCATGTACCGATTGGCAAAGTAGTACATATGTGATAAGCGAGCGACTGGGCCATGAAGCCAGTCAATGGGCCTTGGCTCCAGCGACTCAGGCTAAGCAAGGTCAATATCGGGAAGCTCATAAGATCCACATCCGGGATCTTGCCGTCAGGCCCGCTACCAGGGTTCTCGCCGCCCGTCTTGCTGACCATTTCACACGAGGCCAGCGGTTGGGACTATGCAGCAGTCGACGATCGTCTTCTCTGATGGGAATGGCAGCCCCGAGTCGCTGCCAACGGGCTGGATGGACCCTGAATACATGCGACGCGAGGCATCGCCAGGTCAGTGGCCGAGTCCACGACTCGAGAAACGGGCCCGGCTCGATTCAGCCAGCCCGCTGCCCACACACCTTCTCGGCCCGCGTCCGTGGCCACCATCAAGGCCAGGGGTTCCCTGCTGACCGGGCTGGCCATCCTGGTCCGTACTCCGTACTCAACTTGTGGTTGTTGGCCACTTGCGAAAGGCCCGAGAAGGAGAGCCCAGCACCAGCTGAAGATTATCCCGTCTTCACCGATTCCAAGATCTTTTATTACTGTACCCCCGTGCACGCGCGGACTCTACGAACAGCTCGTGCGGCTGAACATGGCGGCTCTTGGCTCGATCGACAATGTTCTGTCTCCTTTATCACCGACGTAGCCGCGCCAAGTGTGATAGAATGACTATCAATGACCGTGGTGGTTATCTAGAGAGGGGCAAAGCTTACCAGTGTATCAATGCATGGCCAGGCATGGGAGAAAAATTCACCCGTGGGCTATCAGAGCTGCAGCTGAGGTGGTGGTGCATCTAATATTGACGTCCCGACCCCCTTGAGCTGACGAGCTCTTCTTCGCAGCTGTGCGTGCAGGCATTCACCGCGGGGAGGTTTGAATGTGCCACAAAACAAACCGTTGGCGCCCGAGATTATCGTGCACTAGTGCTCTTGGGCTGGGATCGATAGCGGGAGGACACGAAGGTGCAGAAGATCGCAGCAACTGGGAGCAAACATGTGTCCCGATCTTCGCGTGTGGATCTGCTCCTTTGAGTTTAGAGGTATATCATATAATAAGCCGGTTCAGTCCATCAAGCACATCCGAATTGGTGTAGTGGCTAACATTTGACGCTCTCACTGTTCGCTCCACGAGCGACACTGATCCGTCAAGCCCGGGGTTCGATTCCCCGATTCGGAGTTTCTTTTTTTTGCAGATTTCAATCTATGACCGTTGGAAGGACGCCACGATCCATTCTCGCCGTTGAGTCCTCTCTGCTTTCTTTTGCTCAGGTATGCACCTTACACAACATGTATGTATGCATAACTTAGCGGGTGCCGTTTATTTGTCTAGTGTTGTTTCGATTCATATCACTTATCTCTTTGGCTCGGATGGAGGCGAGACTGTGTGTAGTTGTAATGGTTTTGAATCGCCTCCTGCCCTCTCTAGGTGTCTCGGTGGAGAATATAAGTACTTCTGATAAGTCACAAGGTCTCTCTGGATTATCGATGTTTGAGAAGGCGATCACATCGTAAGGGTAAGCAGGATACCTAAAGGAATGCATAGGTCGCCTTCGAGGGTGCTGGCATGGCTATTTGAACTTCTTCCACATTCACATTGGCATAGTGTAAAACAGACAACCTTTGCGCATCACAGTAGTCGGTGGTCGGACCCTGCATCATGGTATAGTCCTTGAGAGTTATGCTTCAGACCATGTCTAGGCCGAGGCTGCGAGCCGTTGGCAAAGTAGATTGGTCATTCGACCCTTCGAGAAACCGCTCCTCGAGCCCCATGGTCATCAATCAGAGATAATAGTCTTGTCGACGTTGAGTGGTGTCGAGTTCTTGCCATACATCCATCCTCAGCATGAAGTGTCGCCGCAAGGTCACATGTCGAGCCGGGATCACCGTATAGAGGGACAAGCCGGATATGTGGTGTTTTTGTTCTTTGTCATTTGAAGTTTCATGAACCGCGCCGAGGTGATCTAAATGACTCCAACGACCCGGCTTTTCCTTTTCCCACGCAAGCCCGCCTTGGCCCATGCCATTAGGGTCGATACTGGACCCCTTTTCCTGATGTGTAAACCGACAACTCCATATTCGCAAATTCGCGCGTAATGATGCCTGGCGAGAGAGAGAGAACGTTCGTGCGTAGGGAACTAGTGCGACGGCGCCAGTATGGATGATTTATCGGTGCTAGAGAGTGAGAGGTTCGGTCAGTACGATCTGCGCAGTGTTGTGCAACTCGGTCGCGAAGTCCCCGCGGCATTTCTTCCATCCATCTTTGTCGTCGAGTACGGTGCGTCGGTTTTGGATTGTGAATGCTGCAGGGCCTTCCCGAGCTGGTCGTGTTGGATATGTTTCGTACCTTAACGAAGCCAATGTCGGTGGACTTCTCACGGAAGCACTGACGGCAGATGTCGAGGCCGTACTTGCGGATGAGACCGGCCTTGTGGGTGCAGACACGGCTAGAGAGTAATCAAGACGACACGGTCAGCACGATCTAGTTCTCCAGCACTTCCTCCACGATTCGGCCACATTGGTCGACTTTTTCGGTGGTCATCGGAGGAATTTCGCATGCGCGAGCGCAACGTACCAGCCACGGGCGCCCTTGCCGTACTTCCTCGGGCGCGAGTTCCAGACGGATTCGTGAGACATGATTGCGGTTTGGCGGATGACGAGTTGCTGTCACGGACGCGGAGTTTTCGGTTGTGGTGTGCTGGCTGATCTGGCTGGACTGGCTGACTGGGGGCGGGAGTTTCTGAGATGCGGCATCGCGTTGCAGGTGGGCGCTGGGCCTGTGGATTTTGGCTGCACTGGAAATTTTGTGTGGTGGGTCGCTTAGAGCTCTGGCCTGGTGTGGCTGAGGACTGCTGCTGTGCCACAATCTGCGCCTGACTGCTGGGAGTGGAGAAGCCCGCTCGCCTGGGGGCTTATCACTCTTGCTTGATAAGCTGATCCAGAGACCCGCGCGGAGCGTCATGAGGGGCGGGGAGCGACAGCCGCAACAATTGGAGGAGAGCTATGCCCGGCTGAAACGGGCCCCAGCCAGACCTGGAGACATCGGCCAGCTCCCTTTAGCTTGAAGGGCAAAGTGGCATCTTCCTTGTTCCCAAAGCAATTCAGGAAGACCTCTGATCTCTATCAAGGATATTCCGCCACAACAAAATGGTTCTTCTCAAGAGCTTCGTGCTCTCTGGCCTCGTGGCCGTTGCGGCCGCCGGATCGGCCGTCCTCGACCTGATCCCCGACAACTTCGACAAGGTCGTCTTCGAGTCCGGCAAACCCACTCTCGTCGAATTCTTTGCTCCGTGGTGTGGCCACTGCAAGACGCTTGCTCCCGTCTACGAGGAGCTTGCCCAGTCCTTTGCCAACTCCAAGAACGTCCAGATCGCCAAGGTCGACGCCGATGCTGAGAGATCCCTTGGTCGCAAGTATGGCGTCCAGGGCTTCCCCACGCTCAAGTGGTTCGACGGCAAGAGCAAGGAGCCCCAGGAATACAAAGGTGGCCGTGATCTCGAGAGCTTGACCAAGTTCGTCACTGAGAACTCTGGCGTCAAGGTCAAGAGAAAGCTCGAGCTGCCCAGCGAGGTCAACTTCCTGACAGACAAGACCTTTTCCGAGACCGTCGGTGGCGACAAGGACGTCATCGTTGCCTTCACCGCTCCCTGGTGTGGACGTAAGTTAATCATCCAGGTCATCCATCAAACGTGGGTTCAGCTGAGACTGACCAATATTCACAGACTGCAAGACCCTCGCTCCCACTTGGGAGACTCTCGCCCGCGACTTTGTCAACGAGCCCGACGTCGTCATTGCCAAGGTTGACGCAGAGGCGGACAACAGCAAGGCCACCGCCCAGGCGCAGGGCGTCACTTCATACCCGACCATCAAGTTCTTCCCCAAGGGTTCCAAGGAAGGCGAGCTCTACTCTGGAGGTCGTTCGGAGAAGGACCTGATCGAGTTCATCAACAGCAAGGCCGGCACCCACCGTGTTGAGGGCGGTGGTCTCGATGCGACTGCCGGCACTATCGAGGCGCTCGGCAACATCGCCAAGCAGTTTGCGGTGGACGGGTCCAAGCTGACCGAGTTCGCCGAGGAGGCGAAGCGCGTGGCTGGCGAGCTGTCCGAGCAGTCTGCGTACAAGTACGCCCAGTACTACATCCGCGTCTTCGACAAGCTGTCTCAGAACGAGGGCTATGTTGCCAAGGAGGCGAAGCGCCTGGACGGCCTCATCAAGAAGGGTGGCCTCGCCCCCTCCAAGCTGGACGAGCTCCAGAGCAAGTCCAACATCCTGTCGCAGTACCTCCAGGCTGTTGTTGAGAAAGTCACCGGAAAGGACGAGTTGTAGAGAACTACATCCTAAACTGGAAGACCGTTACGCACTAGTAGGATTTTCATGACAACACAAATTTTTGTAGAGATATGTCGTCAATTCGGCTGCACGAAATCAGATAGCCCTTACGATAATGTTAACATGACCCGTGGAACGCCGCGTTACACTTTCTGCTTTCAATCTCCTCGGTGACCGTATCAACCTCATTGTGGCTTTGATGGGGAGTTGCTGTTGGCGTCCTGACTCGTCTTGAGCGCGGCCTCCAGATTGTCCAGCCGTCTCGACATCTCGTCCACTGCAAGTTAATGGGTGATCAGCATTCGATCATCTTGACAACAAGCATTTCTTGAGCGGGCGGGCAGTCCATACTCTTGGCGAAGATCTCGCTGGAAACACCTGCAAACTTGTTCGATAGCGAGTTGAGCAGGTCCTCCACAACAGCCGTTAGCTCATCGGTGCTCTGCCTCAAGTGTTAGTCTTTGCATCATCTCCACGGAGCCTTTGACTTTCTTACAGTGCCTTCTGGTTGCGCCGGAACAGGCTTGATGTCCTCAGCTGGCTCAAGCTTAGGAGATGGCATGTTGATTTCAGCTAAAAGAAAGTTTCGCGCTCCTGGGGCTGGGAATCGAGGTTCGCAGAAATCAAGCTCTTAGTCCGAAGCGGATCGACGTTTGTTAGATATTGCGGAGTATCACGAGTGGGCACCCGAGAGTGGTGTTGGTGTTTGTGTTTAGGAGCTTCCCAGGATGCAGCAGGATGACCCTGAAATGAGAGCGCGTGTCTGGGAATGCTAGCCCCACCCTGGAGCTTTGGAGCTTCGGCCTCTAGCTCCTGACGTCGCATTCGAGATGAACAACTGCCCTGAACCCCAGCTTAACAACCCCATTCACCGACAAAAACCCAGAACGCGGGACAGGCGACAGCGCAGCATTCGAAGATACGGGACCATCGGTTGGGGCCAAACCCATATCCAGAGCTCCAGGCTTTCACTCCGCGCCCTCCGATACTCGGCACCACCGTGAGCTATGCCAGCTGGGCACTGAGCATGCGCCCTGGCAGATAGAATGCCGCCGCAGCAAGAGAGCGCCCGCATCATCTTCCTGATCGTCCTCACCTTCTGGATCTTCTCGACTCCCGACAATGGACCGCTTATCGCGGGGCCAAATCTCATCAAGAACCGCCTGACCCGCCAGCGAGCCGCCCACGGGGTCCTCAATAGCACGAAATGGGGCGACTTCGACCCAGTACCGACCGTTAGCGATGGCAGCGCAGCGGAGCCAAAGTACTTGAACCTCACTGGATTCCGCGAGAAGGATAATTTTGCCTGGGCCGATCTCGGACGATTCAGGAAGAAGTGTGACGACTGGAGCCTGAACGCCGTTGGCATCCCCGAAGCAGCGCAGCCAGTGTGGCAAAACGCAACTGGCGTCGTTCATGGCTTTTGGCATCGCGAGGACGGCTCCGTGCCTCGAACGATAAGGGACTACAACCTGACTGATGCCACACCCAACATTACCTGGGCGAGCGGCGCATTCGAATGGAGCCGGAATGTTACAGGCCGAGAAGGGAAGATGCTCGTGCGTATCGAGGACGATGAAGCAGCTGGCACAGAACCTGAGGTGCTTGACCCGTTGATCTTGCTACACACCGAGTTTCGGGCGCGAGAAGTCACAGCGACCTTCACCGTGGAAGACGTCGAGGGCACTGGCAGCCAGTTCGACATGAGAATGCACGGAATCCACTGGCCGCGAGAAGGTGCGATGCTGTTCACGACCACGAGCGAGAAGTTTGCCGGTATCTTCGGTCTGCCTCACCTGACCAGCCGGCCTGCCTTCTTTGAGACAAGCCAGGCTCTGCTCAACCGCACG